GAAGTCTTATCTTAGCTCACCACCTCTACTGACTAAAGCCAAAGATGGAGAAATCCTCTATTTATATCTGGGAATTTCAGATGAAGCCATTAGTTCGGTTCTGGTAAGAGAAGAAGCCAAGCAGCAGAAACCAATATATTATATCAGCAGTGTGCTGCATGGGGTCGAGCTGAGGTATCCTATAGCTGAGAAAGCAGCCTTAGCAGTTGTCACTTTGGCCAGAAAGTTGAGGCCATATTTCCAGTCGCACCCGATCATTATTCTTACAGACCAACCCCTTCGGCAGATTCTGCAAAAGCCTGAGTGTTCTGGAAGATTAGTTAAGTGGGCAATAGAACTGGGGGAATTTGAGATAGCATTTCAACAGAGATTTGCAATCCGAGCTCAGGCATTGGTAGATTTTATTGTAGAGTGCACTCCAGGTAATTCCATTCCTACTCTGGAGCCCAATGACTGGACTTTATATGTTGATGGGGCATCTAGTAGCAAAGGTTCAGGAGCTGGTGCTCTCTTGATCGGCCCAGATGGATACCGAAGTGAACATGCTTTGAAATTTAACTTCGGTGCAACAAACAACATGGCTGAGTATGAAGCCCTGCTACTTGGTCTGCAACTAGCATTGGAATTAAAACTCAGTGTGATCCAAGTATACAGTGACTCCCAGCTGGTGGTGAACCAAATTAACTCAATCTGCGAAGTTGTTGATCCTGTGATGGTGAAATATGTAGCTCTGGTGGCCGAGCTAAAGTGCAAATTCCAAAAATTCTGTCTGAGCAAAATCCCCCGAACTGAGAATGAACAAGCAGATTCACTCTCTAAATTCCCATCTGATAGTTCTTCACATTCCAGATCGGTTTTTGTGGAGGTCTTAGATGAACCAAGCTTCATGAAGCCACGGGTAATGGAGATCAGCACCGACCCAGGCACATCGAGCTGGACTGACCCAATCCTCTCCTTCTTACGAGACGGGATAGTACCTACGGACAGGCAAGAGGAAATGAAGTTGAGGAGGAAAGCATCTCGGTATATATACACTTGTTGATGGGATCCTCTATAAGCGATCTTTCTCTCTACCTCTTCTACGGTGCTTGAATCCCTATGAAGCAGAATATGCACTCAGGGAGGTGCATGAAGGTGTCTGTGGAAGTCACATGGGTGCTCGAACTTTGGCTCATAAAGTCCTCAGACAGGGTTATTATTGGCCCAACATGTACAAGGATGCCACTCAGTTCATACAGAGGTGTCAGAAATGTCAGTTCTTTGCACATCTAATCCACCAGCCTGCAGAAGAGCTCACTACGTTGATGGCACCTTGGCCATTCGCTCAATGGGGTCTTGACCTTTTAGGCCCATTTGTGAAGGGGGTAGGATGTGTAACCCACCTCATTGTTGGTGTAGATTATTTCACAAAATGGGTTGAAGCTCGGGCATTATCCAGTCTCACCTCCAAGAAGGTCGAAGACTTTGTTTTCAGCTCGATTATTTGCAGATATGGGATCCCGAATCAGATTATAGCTGATAATGGAACTCAGTTCAATTGCTCCTCATTCCGAGATTTCTGTTCTAGTTATGGGATTAAACTACAGTTCACCTCGGTTTACCATCCGGAGTCCAACGGCATGGTCGAATCTGTTAACAAGTGCATCTTAGAAGGTATAAAGCCGAGGCTGGAACAACACAAGGCCAAATGGGCAGACGAGCTTAACAACGTCCTCTGGGCATACAAAACTACGAGTCGAACTGCCACAGGTATTACTCTACACTTGGCCTATTCGATTAATTTTATATTATTTTACTTCTTCTGCTATGGTTTTACCTTAGAGCAAATATGCATAACGTGTAAAGCGCATTCTAAAGTTATAATTCCCTGAAATAGGTGAAACACCCTATCATCTGGCCTTTGGTACTGAAGCAGTCATTCCTATCGAGATAGGAGTCCCAAGCTTCAGGGTCACCCATTTCAATGAAGGGCAGAATGGACAACTGCTTCGGGAGAACCTTGATCTACTTGACGAAGTCAGAGAAGAAGCACGACTTCGAACTCTAGTCTACAAGCAGAAGGTAGCAAACTTTTACAACAAACGAGTTTGACCCCGACCATTCAGAGTAGGCGACCTTGTTCTTAGGAAAGCTGGTCTAACGGGGTTCGAAACTCGATTTGGAAAGTTAGCACCAAACTGGGAAGGCCCCTACACCGTAGCCGAAGTGCCACACCCAAGTGCTTATATCCTACAAGACACTGGGGGAAAAAGGGTTCCTAGAGTCTGGAATGCCAATAACTTGAAGAAATTTTACCCTTAATACACTTCTTTCCAGTCAACTTTGTTTTAACCACCATTATTCTGATTGCTGTATATCAAAACTCAATTCATATGAATTTCACTTCACGTTCGAAGTAATTCAGTTCTGTGAACTCTGCTATGCGTTGGAAGTGGGTTTCATTTATTTCTGAAGTCAGTTCATTCTGACTCATTCAGTCACTTCATTTTTAGGGTTATAATCCTATTAATCAGTTACACTTTATTTTTGAAGTGCTTTACTTC